TATATATATATATATATATAATTTTCATTTGAACCACATTTATTTCTCTCATTAATTCATTAACGAGAAATTCTAAACTCTTTGAAAAGAAAAATAAAACCGTTTACATGTACTTAACTCCATGCGAATCGTAAGATAATGAAAAATTCTTTTATTTTATTCATGCTACTCGCTTATTTCGCGCCCGCAGTTTTACGTATGCGCTTTAGACGTGTTTGATTCTCTCTTGTTTTAATTAATTGTTTTAATGTCGTACGACCTACGGCGTCGTACGAAACGTTTGCCTCATCTATATAATCAAAAAATGCTTGTGTTAAAATTGTAATTTTGCAACGGTGTAAGTTAAATCCTCACGATTTAGTCATTAATCGAGGAGAAGAGAACACAAAAAGAGATCCATAAGAAATAATTCTTTAATACGGGAAAAAGCGTTATAAAATGTAATCGTGAGTCTAAAATCAATTTTTCTGGGACACCGTGTATAAAAGGATGTACGAATTGCGAGCGAAGAATCCCATGAGAGACGAGCAATAACGTGTATATTACGTTTTACTTTACCTATTTTATATATAAATATTATATATATAGATAGAGATATATATGTATACACTATAACTTTTTTATTACTTCTGTACTGAAATACACTGCAGCGTGAAGAGTGTTTGTAACAGAATGCCGTAATGAATGCAAAACAAAAAAAAAATATATAAAATCCACGTGTCACCGTTTTCTTTCTCTTTTTTTCACACTAACTTTAGATAATAATCGCGACGATTGTGTGCTGTTGTTAAAGTTGTTGCGAAATGCGAGGTGAAGAAAAAGAAAGAACGAAATACAAATTATGAGATTCAATATCTAAGATCTTGGACGACTGTTTTACTAATTTCCTGATATTTTTCATCAAAGAGAAATTTTTTAAAATTAAAAATATAGATTCAGTTATTAAAAAAAAAAAATTTTCTACATCGAGAAATTTTTTAAATTGAAAATAGAACTTTTAACTATTAAAAAATTTTAGTGTACAATTCCATTTTAATAAACGAGAAATTATATATTTCTCGCCTTTTTAAACAAAATATTAAAATAAATTATTTGATATCTGAAATTGATTGATTTAATAAAATTAAATTTATCTCATTGAATTTTTACTGAGATGATCAAGCGATCGACTTTGTTCAATAAATATATAAATCCATTACATATTGAACATTCTGTAGAAAATTAAATAGTGAGAAATTAATTGAACTGTTTAATTATATTGAAATTGTCTAGTAAAGTTATTCGATTAATACTCAATTTTTGAAATCGTTAAGTCACAACTTGTTAAATTTTATGAGGCGATCAATAAAATATCTCGATCGGCATTCCAAGAAATTATCGCGGCTATCAGCTGATATCTTTGATATCAGCGATATGACATATTCAGTAGGACAAACATTTGAAAAATACTCAACTATATTCTCCACGAGTTACTACAATTTCTTAACACGGAACACATTTCCCGGCTGTCCGCGCATACCGTCGCATTCCATCTCTCATCGATGAACCGTCCCGCCGTCGATCGATGGCCGAGCATTCCAAAAATTCCTCTTCCTCGCTGTTTGTGTGCCGCGGAAAGTTCACGCGGTGATTGGCCAGCCTGGGCGGCGATTACGGCAGTAATGCGCCGTCATGGCGACGCTGCCGCCGCGGAAAAATCCAACTCCCACAAAAATTTCGAAGCAGCACCTGACGCCGTTGCAAACGCTTCTGCAGCTGGGCTTCCCGAAACACCGGGCGTACGTATGGGGCCCCGTGGCCCAACGTGGGGCCGTGGTTCTCCGCGATGCCGCCGCACGTGGCGCGTCGTCCCGCGTTGCACGCGGCGCGTCGACCTGTCCTGACTGTAAACAAACAGCTGTCAAACGTGTCCTCGGCTAGCGCTACTCCGCGCGATTGATTCTCGATTAATGTCACTCGGTCCCGGAACTGATGTCTGAGACGAAAGACAGATTGCCCCCGGCATTTAAACGAGGCCGCAATATCCTTGCGTTACCCTGAAGTTGCCATCACGAAGTCGCTGGCAGTTCTGATACTCAAGTCTGATTTACAATGTTGAACTTTGCTTTCTTGCTTCGTGCTTCTTAGCTTCCTGCCTCTTTCCCTCTTTGCGACCGTTTTACGACAGTCGTGGTTTATTGTCTCTTTCGAAAATCGTCAACTTTTGCCTCGGGTAGCAGAAAACGAGGAATCAGAATAAGAGGCAAAGAGTGGTGAGAAGTAAGAAACAGGAAGCAAAAGAGCACATTGTAGATTAGCCTTGAAAAATGCATATTTTTTTGAAAAATGTGCATAACGTGTGCGTCAGAAAAATGTTACGATAATTTATATTTTGTATTCAGTGTCGTTCATGAAATTGTGTATTCTCAGGGAAAAGGCGTTAGCCGCGACGGGACACCGCGGCATACAATTGGCATCGGACTGGTTGCTGGCTCATGTGAGAGATCCGTCTCTGGACTCTGACACGCAACGGCAGTATGTTCTATACGCCTGCCCCACCGGGCCGTTGGCTGAGCAGCTGGAGCTGTTCTGGTCGGAGAGTAAAGACATAGTATGGAACGGCGCTCACAACTTTATACCGCACATTACTCTTGTCTCCTTCTTCGACGTAAGATATTTAATGTATATTTGGCAGTGTATAAAAAACAAATTTGTCTTATAGAGAAATAGAATCTGAAACGAATGTATTTTGTCTATTGAATGTTATTTCTTGTTTGAATGTATCTTGTCATTTGAATGTTATTTCTTGTTTGAATGTATCTTGTCATTTGAATGTTATTTCTTGTTTGAATGTGTCTTGTCATTGTCAAACATTTTTGCAGGCTCCCGACGAGTTCACGAAAGAATTGGCAAACGCCCTTGAGAATGTGGTTCATCAGGACGGTTTGCACGAACATATCGAGCTTGAGACATACGTGTCGCCTAATTTCATGGGTCTCTTCGTCAAGGACGTGAACGCGGACTGGCTGAAGAACATAGCCCTTCGCTACGTCAATAAAATCGCCGCTCTAGGTATCACTGCCGAACCGCAAGTGAAGTCTCTGCACCTTACTCTGGCTTACCAGTTCCCCGGCAGCTTGTTTCAACCCCTTCGCTCGATGGTCGAGAAACTAGGACCAAACACACCGGCGAATTGGGAGCTCAGATTGTACTCGAGAGACTCGAGACTGCAGAATTTGCACGTGCACAAAGTGACGCACGCCCACGCGCCGCGGGAGCACGACGAATTGGAGTTAAGGGTAGGCGACTACATTTACGTTCCAGAGGGAGCTTGTAACGCGTCCACGGACGGTTGGGTGGAGGGGATCTCCTGGTTGACTGGCACATCGGGCCATTTGCCGTTGAATCACACCAAGAGAACTGCGGAGTCGGACTCGTGGACGTTGCATGCCACCATCCCGATCACCGACAATAAATACGAGAGCGCGGAGGAGGAGGAGATACCGAAGGTCAGGAGATCACCGCCGGTTCTGTCCCCAAGCGATTCCGTCGATACACCCGATGGGGTCCCCATCGAGGAGGAGCCGGTAATTATTTCGGGAAAATATAGTATTAATTATTTCGCGGGAAACTATCGGCGAGTTTATAATCTATCTTTTTTTTTTTCTTTTTCGAAACAGATGGCAGCGTCGGAAGCGCCGGAAACACCGTTCAGGGAGATCTTCATATGTCGACACGGCGAGAGGGTGGACTTCACCTTCGGCGCTTGGATCCCGTATTGCTTCGAGTCGAACGGTTGTTACGTGCGCCGTGACTTGAACATGCCCAAAGACGTACCGGCCAGGAGTATTCAGGACTTCCAGAACGACAGCCCGCTGACGACCGTGGGCGAGATGCAGGCGACCCTGGTAGGCGAAGCCATGAAATCTTCCAGTATCAAGATAGACGTAGCCTTCACGTCGCCGTCGCTGCGTTGCGTCCAAACGCTCGCCCATATCCTGAAGGGATTGGAGTCCGACATTCCGATCAAGGTGGAGCCGGGCCTGATAGAGTGGCTGGCGTGGTATCCGAACGGCATACCCGTTTGGATGACGTCCGAGGAGCTGGTGAAGGCGGGCTTCAACGTGGACACCGATTACAATCCGATCGTGAAGGCCAAAGAGCTGCCGCTGAAAGAGAACGCCGCGCAATACTACGAACGCAGTTACGAGCTGATTAAGAAGATCATAGAGAGCACAGTTGGTAATATTTTGATAGTAGCGCACGCCGCCTCCCTGGCAGCTTGCACCAAACAGCTGACCGGCGGTAGGATACCGCCGGCGGCTGAAGTCACTAGATTAGTTCAAAGAGTACCTTATCTGGCGTGTTTGACGGCGCGTCAAGATATTGACGGCTGGCAGCTCCATCCCCCTCCCTTCCCGCCGATCACTCATACCAGTAATAGCAGATTCGATTGGAAAGTTTTAATGTAATAACGAGCTTTTGTTTGAAGGAAGCACGCGAACAATTGAACACGTTACAAAGCCTATATAAATACAAAAGACTGTTATGATACAATGAATTTTTATGCGGGGCTTTAATCTTAACAATTAATGTCGATGAGCTTGAAACAACACATTCAACGAATTAGGAAGAGAAAAAAAAAATTGTTTTTCCGAAAGGATATTATCATTGGTGTACGATATAATGTTAACGATAAATATGACGAAAGCTAGTCGATCGCGCACGACGGTTGAACATTCATCTTCCTCGGATTATGATTAATACGGGTATCGAGGTATAGTTCACTCTTTAATTATGAATATAGAACAAATACTAGCCAATATGTTACTGGTATCGTGCTATACCAATCCCCTAGATATCTAATACATAAGCGACATACTAGTCTTGATTGGACACATTTTCTTGCCGAGTCTTGAATAAAGCACTAAATGAAAAATTAAAAAAGAAAAAAAAAGATATTTATATAGTATTTTAAAATATTTTCTGATTATAAAATATTCATGTATTTATCACATAAAACACACAGTATTTTCTCTCTTTAACACGTAATAAAAATTAAGTAGAAACGTATACAGAGAAATCGATGAGATACTTTTATGCACGTGATCTCTGTGTTGATAGAAAAAAAAAATGTTCCATGCGAGCTTTATTACCATTTCTTGAAAAATTTAGAACGTGTGTCAATTAAGTGTGACTTTGAATCTTAACTTAATGGTCTGCGTTGCATCGTGATGAATTTTGATGCGCAAGGACGAGGATATATTTATATAGTATGGTTATCAATGTTACCTTTTACAGAAAAATAACGTTTATATGTATATATCAAAATATACAATACCAGAAATATGTCTTAATGTTGTTTCGCTATTAAAATAGATCGAACATTCGTTTGTAAAACGTTAATAAGAAACGCAAGACATATTTTTACGTATGTGTATATACATATATGTGTACATATATATATATATAGGCAGTATTTTATTATATTCCTAATTATATATTTAATTTTCTTCCTTCTCTATGAGCGCATATGCGCGCGTTGCGGTACAAATTTATATTGAAATATATATATATATATTATATCTTATACAATTTCTGACGATGTACAAAAGCATTATACTATATACAAAACAAGTTATTAAAATATAAGAAGAGTTAAGAGACAATTTCCGTTTTTCTTACGATCATCCCATACGCGACTTGGCTAAACGTGACCGCTCTCCTTCAATTTGGCTATCAAGGTGTCAACGTCCGGTAATACAGCACCAGCCTGCCTGACTGGCGGGTCTTCCACCGACAGTATCTCAATTTTCGGCGCCACGTCTACCCCAAGATCTTTCGCAGTGACCTTCTTGATGGGTTTCTTCTTGGCCTTCATAATATTCGGCAGAGTCGCGTAACGCGGCTCGTTCAGGCGAAGATCGGCGCTCAGCACCGCGGGAGTTTTCATCTTGACGACTTCCAAGCCACCGTCGATCTCGCGCGTAATGGTCAATTCGCCGTTATTGTTTTCGATCTAAGGATAAGAGAGAGAGAGAGAGAGGATTAAGATATAATTGTACAGCACAAAATAAAAATCCCATCCACCTTCTTACCTTGCTGCAAAAAGTGCCGGATGGCCAATCCAAGACGCCGGCGGTCATTTGTGCGGTCTGATTGTTATCGTCGTCTATCGCTTGCTTGCCGAGTATCACCAGATCCACCTTCTCCTGCTGCGCGAGTTTCGCCAGTATCTTGGAGACGTGAACGGGCTGCAGCGTCTGGTACTCCGGGCCGGATATCTCCACGTGAATGCCACGATCCGCACCCATGGCGAGCGCGGTCCTGATTACGTCCTGCGACTGCGTCGGTCCACAGCTGACCGCTATTATTTCCTGGGCTATTTTCTTCTCCTTCATACGGACCGCCTCCTCTATGGCTATCTCGTCGAACGGGTTCATCGAATGTTTGATACCATCTGTGACTACCCCGGACTTGTCCGGCTTGACGCGAATCTGTGGAGAACACGTGCAAAATAGAGGTTCTAATTTATCGGTGTTTCGCAAGTCAGCATTTTCAGAGTCCTTTATTAATAAAGAGATGTTAGAGCTTTTACGATAATTATTGGAGGAAAAAAAAAACATTAGACTTCGTAATATTCTTCTTTACTTAAAGTTATAATATAAACATTGCATTATTTACCTTCACTGCATAATCGATCACTCTTTTCACACCTACAAGCACTCGTGCCATTTTTGCACAATGGGGAAAAGCTAATGCTATGCGCAGAAAATTGCAAGTTTCGTTTAATTCTTTTTGATCAATATCAATGAGATAAATCCGTAATAACCCCTACCTCTCAAACGTGGCTCAAAGTCTAAAGTCTGAATTGCTGCCAATTGCTGCTGCACAAGATTATGTCACTAGAAACACTGTGACCAACTTGGCTAACGAAAATGCAGACGTATCGCCTGTCGGAGCGAACAGCTGTCACAGCTGATAATATACATACATATATATACATATATGTTGGTTAGTTACTTTATATAATTAAAAATTTTTTAATTATCCGAATGTGATTATCAAATCTTTTCAATTATACTTATTGCAAAACTTTCTTTATACAAAATACGAATACAAATAAATACATAATACAATTTTATACAAAAACTTTATTTAATTTATTTATGTCGGTTGACTTGTGTAGTGTAAAAATAATTAATTGAAATTATCTGAATGGCTGTCAAACTTTTTAACTACGCTTGAAAAATTTTTACGCGAAATACAAATAATTTTGTAAGGAAACTAATATTGTTTAAGTTAAAACACAATATGTATCGGAGCACGCAAGCGTGTTTTCCTCACTCTACTTACGGACACATACAGAAACGCTCAGTTCAACAATAAGTGTATGTTGTATGATCAGTATGACAAGCTCGTGGGACATGGGGAGAGAAAACACGTGTAGGACTCTCGATCAGCAGGTACTCTCAGGAGCTCGGGGCCCTCAGGGCCTTCAGGGGAAGGGTGGAAAATCATTTGAAATGCTCGAAAGTACTTGAAAATCTCGAAATCTCGTTTAGGCGGTACAGCCAGTGTAGTGTGAGCATCGCCGTGCTGGTGCATCGATCATCACCGGAGTCTCAAGTCCATTTTTATATAGCATTTTATATAGTGTATAACATTTTTAAAGTATTTTTATTATTCTGCACGAACGAGGATGGTTCGATGGTTCAATTAAGGTAAGATTCTGCTGAAATTCGTAAATGCGACAAAACACGTGCTCTTTCTCGCGTGGCCGAGCGTGCCGTTGAGGTTAGATCGCTGCGTCGCCGGGGACCAAATTCGACGAATAATTTTCTCATTGATATCTCGTTGTTTTTACTCTGTTCTACTCGCACCTCCCCCCCCCCCCGGAGTTATTTCACGATGTGAATTACGATAGGCGAACTGTCTTGTGTTCAGGCACAATTTAGAGTTTCAAAAATTTTGTTTCATACGTTTTCACATGCGCCACGTACTCAAGGATGCTTCGTAAAATTCGATTTCGAAAATGTTCAATTTAGGAATAAACACTTATATAAACACTTATAATTAGTCTGGCTATATAAAAAGATTTTCAAGAAATTTCGTGGAAAACGCGTTTAAAGTTTGAATAGATTTTGAACATAATAAAATGAACGTAATAAAATTATTAAAATTAACTTAATATATTGTTTATCGGGTTAAAAACTGTTCTGGATTATAAAATATAGTGTCGAGAAGTTCATTAATAACGGTTCTTTATTACTAAAAATAGCTGTTAAATTATATCACTGTTTCAACAATTGCAACTACCTGCAAGTACCTATATAAACAGTTGAAAAAAAGGTATCGCGTGATTCACACATACGCGATACTATACCATTTTTACATCAGGATTATTTTTATATATTTTCGTAGAAAATCGTAACGATCTACAGGATGGTTGTTGACTTGTTACAAACATAGAAATATTAGAAATACGAGTATACCTTATATTGTGAGCGATCACACACGGTGATATATTCTTCACAATGTGCTTATTGTACGTGGCTCAACCTAAAGAAGAAAGTTCGACAGAAAAGCCAGAAATATCATTTTTATAAATATACATATATGGCTTACATTTATCACTGTCTCCCCAATTGCATATAAGCCTTAAAATTAACATGGAATGCAAACCAATTGGTACAAATGTTGAATATATGAATGGTGAATATAATTTCTCATTGCTACAAATTTCTATGCGATTTAATATGTAATTATTATTGAAATATGAAAATTATCACCATTTTTTCATCTTCTGTACTTTTCTTTATTTAGTATTAAATTTGCCAATCGTAAAATCGTATATGGGTTGACGGTCGGATTCGAACTTATTGTTAGAATCTCTTCATTGCAAATCGCTCTCACACGGAGCCACATGTCACCCCGTGTGTTTTGATATAATTTTTTGTAATCTATTATTTCACATACATTTAAAATATAAATTAAATACGCAGTAAATATAAAATTAGCTAGTTGATATTGACGATCGTCGAAAAAAAAGTAACAAAAACGGTAACGGCGTTACAGTACAACGCAATACTTTCTAATTTAATAAGGAGACGTCCTTATTAAAGTATGATTAGCCTAATGAAAAAATTGAGTATAAAAATCGAAAAGATATCGCTCATTGATGTATCACGCATCATCTTTATTTTTATTCTTTTTTTGTGAAGTCTTTTTTACAAAGCGGAATGGGAAAGCGAGATTAGCAGTTTGTCAAATAAAAATGTATCATACATCGAGATTGTAAAATATTTACAATAAATAAAGTTAGTTTTAATTTTTGGGATGTCCACGTGCTCTTGCTTCTTTAAACATTGCTACGAGAGAGTCCAGAGTCTCTTCTCCGGTCGGGATAATCTGGTCAGGGGGCAACAGAAAGCCGTAACGACCTTGATCACGCAACTCGTAGGTGTAGGCGATTGGTTTACCATAAGTGCCTTTGACATAATCCACAGTACTTCCGGTAGCTATGTCTAAAAACGATTTGATAAGAACATTAATTTATGAAAATCATGTTTTTTTTTATATACGATTATTTCAATCTCGGAATTGCGATATGTTATAATTACATCAAATTAGCTAGTAGATTACACCTTAAAGTAATGAAAACTAAAAGAAATTTTTGGCTCTGGCCAATTTATCATTTTAGATAATTACAAAATGTATGATAGATAAAAGAAATAGAGAAGGAAAAATAAATTAAAATTCCTCTGCACTTACAGATCGTCTCAGCGACATTTCCGGTTACATAGGAAGTTCCGTATCTTTTTTTCAGAGCTGTAATCGCTTTCGTGCCGATGGCGTACTGAAAATATATGAAGATTATATAAATTATTATTGTTATAGACCACAATTCTAATGATAAGATAATTAATAAACCTAATCGCTTCAAAATCTTTCGGATTCAAAGAATCAGAGTGACATACAATTAATCCGACAATAGAGTGACGACAAGGAGAATATAATTATGATGAAAAAATGTTTTATTAATTTATAAAATATTTTTTGCAAAAGACTTTCTGTATTGCTTTAGAATATCAAAAATTTTTTTTACCAATTCTTCGTAGTTTTCAAGATGAGCCTTCGTGTGACCGTACGGGAACATCAATAGTTGCGAAAAGCTGTGGAACGATATGTACGCGTAAAATTTATCGGAAATGGTCTTGATGTATTCAGATGCGCTCTTTGTTTCTACGTCAGAGAAAGGTGCACTTCCGGCATAGGTTTCGGCGCACGGGAAGCTGCTGGCACCTCCAGCTAAACACATTAAATTTCAATAATATTAATAAAAATTTTAATAAGTCAGACTTTTCCAAAATCTTTGGAATAAATTGATTTGATAATATTTTATTCCTAATTGAGAGAGAGAGAGAGAGAGAGAGAGAGAGAGAGAGAGAGAGAGAGAGCTAGTTGTTTATTAAAAGTACCGGATACTTACTGTTCCATTTGTAGTCCCAGTTCCTGTTGGGATCGCTACCTCTGCAGATGCCGTACGGCTTACGTGTCTTTCTCCACAGTCGATCCTGGAAATGACCGAGATACATATGCGTAGATAAAATTGATCGATTGATAAGTTAATCGCGTTTTGTATAATATTTATATGAAATGGAATTTACCGTAGTATGCGTGTACACGTATCCGTCGGGATTGAACGAGGGGAAGATGTACCAATCGTTGCTGTCAGCCAGTTCCCTGACGTCCGGGTCGTTGCTGGTCAGCAATTGATGCAGGATGTACATGCAGGTCGCCGGCGAGATCCATTCCCTGGCGTGAATGCCACCCTCGATGAAGATTCCAGGATTGTTGGGTTTAAAGGACACCTTGACGCCTTTGATCTCGCGGCCCTCGTACGTCTTGCCGCCCACGACGGTCTGCACCTTGTCGGGATACTGCTTGGCCAGGTCGTCCAGGTTCTTGTAGATCTCGTCGAGAGTGTGATAACTGGTGAAGTCAAACGCTTTTGAGCGAGTCTGAGGGGTTGTTTCGTCAATCAGCTTCTGGACATCTTTGATGTAGATCTCGTACGGTATACCGATCTGGCCCATCTTCTCGTAGAATTCAGGCACCTTATGCGGGGCGACCATCATGTCTACATTTTTGTTCACGACACTCGGTGAATTCCAGAAGGAGAACTGCAAGGAACATTTAGTCTTACTCGTTAAAGTTAAAATTCAATTTAAGTTCAATTTTGAAGTTAAAGTGTTGTTAAAATATTCTTGGCTTATTTTCTTATTTCTGTGATTTTACATTTGCTAAGTAACTTTATAGATATATATAATTTTTAGTATTCTAAAATTTCTGTAATTAATTTCAAAGTTTGATCATATTTTTAATAAGTCTTGTGAAATTGATTCCACGTGAATTTCAGGCAATGAAGCAAATATCGCACGTGCGAGATTAATGTATCTTAAATTAAGAACAGAACTCCACATAGGCATTCTTGATTTGTACTATTTGTAAGATGTATCTTAAAAGGAATTTACTCACTCCGTCATAAACAGTATTTTCAAATTCTTGCAGAACTTCGAGTTGCGTCTCCGTGGTCGGGATCATCCTGAAGACCTTGTAATTGTTGTAAAGGGCCTTCTCGGCAGCCGCCAGGCCCACGATCGCGCACAGCACTATCTTCCACATAATGGCTCTGTATAAAACCGAATATTTCTCATAATTTTAATAATCAAGTTTCCTTGATCATCAAACGACAATTATCGCAAATATATTATTTTTATTGAGAATCACGTAATTGTTTTTTATAAAATAAATGTAGTAGTCGATGACCATTGTCATTGACTGGATGCTCGATTTAATTTAGAAATAGTCTCTCTCGAAGTGATCAGCTTACCCCTTGCGAGACAGGAACGTTTGTAATTGAATGATTGTAGCTACTGTTTTGTCCATTGTATTTATAAACACCGAATGCACACGGCACCAGCGATTGACACATCGACGCATTCAGGACATTTTTAGAAAAAAATCACGTTGATCGATCATGCGAAATCATGTTGGGTTTTACCGTCTATCGGATCAACTTGAAAAGAATTGTCTTATCACGTTGATCCTCGCACTCAATAGGTATAATCGCGGTGTCACAATTAGTCGTTCAGTAGCTTTATCGGACGTTAAAATTGGTTGACATATTCGAGTACTTTATCTAGAGCTAGAACTGAATCTGGGTCTGAATGCACGTTTATACATATTTTATATGCTTTGTTGAAGTTAATATAAAAAATTAGTTTGATGTCATTTTCAAATGTATTTGGCAGTATTTTGCGAAAAATATTTAATTTCAAGCAGAATAACGTCGATTTAAAAAAAATAACGCGATGTTATGTGCTTCCGCTAGTATAAAAAAAAATTAAATTTATATGGATTTTAAGAAAATGTGAAAGTTATTTTCACACACAGTGTCAATTAAATTTGTGTACAGTGTAAAATACTTACAATATGAGTGAGATAAATGTATTAAAATCGATTAACTAATATTACATCAATTTTTATTTGCGTAATTGTATAAAGTAACATGATTTTATTTTTTGACAAAAACATGTTACTCTATGTTTTTACGAATATATACTTTCTTTCGATAAATAATCAGTCCGAAAGAAGCTACCTTTGAATTTATATATTCGTTCCTTTGATCGCATTTATTTAAAATAATTTTTGTTTTATTATTTCCAACTCAATTGTCAATTGTCAACTGTACTTTGTATCTTTTTTTTTAAATTTTTTTTACGTAGTTATCGTATATTTGTATTCTTATCAGATTATAATTGTGCGATTGTTCTCTATTGTCTTATCGTAAATTCTTCTTCATCGATTAGTTATTGCGTGATTTTTTTAATCGCGAGCTCTCAACAAAAGCTTAGCAATTAAAGCCCGATAAGACAAGTCTGGTCACCTAATTATAGATGAAGACAATGCTCCTTCTTATCCGGATATCGCGAGATTGTATACATATTTTGTTCGACGTGAACGATGCACTGATTGTAAAATCACGAGCGAATCTCCTTCCGCGATAAGTCATTTATTGATTTAATTACTCTCCCTTTGTACCCCGAGTCTCTTTGTAAACAGGTACGAGTTGTCTTACAAGCGGAAATCAGTGATCGATCACTCGCTTATAAATAAAAAAATATAAGATAAGCAAAAGAGAAAAGCGCGGAGATTTGTTTTTTAATCCCACGAGAAATCAATTCACAATCAGTTCGGGAAACAAATTTCTGCGACAGATTTGTGGAAAATATCAGTTTGTCCCTTTACCTGCTTCTGCAACGACGATTCGACGGTGTGTACCGTGTGCTGTATTATCAGCCTCTTGGTTTGCGTTTTTGTGGAATGTGCTCTCCGACGACTCGTCTTTCGGCTCTTATATACCTAAGCACCGTTTTTTCCCAGCATCAATAGCACACGGTAACGGGATATGGGTGTTAAATTTGCATATGCGGAATGAGTTGTTTGGGAACCGCACGTGCGTCGAGCGTTCTAGATTCGTCGTTTGCCTTGATAACATGCGGGCCCTTATCAGACGTACCATGTGCGTACTTAAGAATTAGCGGAAACCCGTGATCAAGGGTTGGACTCTCAGCTCGACCTGGTTTCTCAAGGTGCGAAATAAATCTCGAGTTGCGCCTCACGTTTGTTGCGAGATGTTTATTAACAATGCTTTACAAGATCTTATTCGTGCCGCGCGCACGAACGAGAGTTCGTCGTAATAATTAACTAATATATAAATTCCATACCATCGTATTCAACGTAGCATTATATATACATAACATTCTTTCGTTTAAATCATTTCTAGAATCACATTCGGAAAGAGAGGGTCCTGTGTCAACGTTGTATATATTCCTTGAAAGGTATTACACGTGTGTATCATCAACGCGCGCGCGCGCGATACGGCATGCGATAGGCTTATAATCTACCTCCTCGAAATTTACGTTTGACAAAAACTTGCGGTATCGTAGAAAAAACGTACACAGCATTCACAAGTGGCTCGTCATTCCGCTCTTGCAAAAGTTCTTCTTCCGCAGCATTTCACATATCATACAGTATAAACTTACAAATTAATTACAAATTTATCGCCCCGAGGTATCTGCGCGATCAACAATTTTTAGTCAATTGATTTAGGAAATCAATCTTCAAATACTTAGCATCCCAGATAGCCAAAGACCTGCCAAGAGCGTGTGTTACAAATGTGTGTTGTATATTATACCCAGTGAGAAGTGATCGTTAATTACGATGTCGAGTTGATGCCGACATCAAAATCATCGTATCGACGTCAATTTGAAATTAATTCGATGAGTCATTTCTCGCTGGGTATTAATAGTAGAAACAGCTGAGAACAATCTATTGTTTTTCTGATAGCGATTAGGAATGTATTAGAAAACGAGCAGATCCTACTATGGCACTATGATAGCAAGATGTACTTTATTCCTGCTGCATTTCTGTTACATTATGGCTGGTGAACCGTAATAACGTAGAAATTAAGCTTGAAGAGGTCACAATGGGATAGGAATCTGTTTTTCAATCATGAGCGAATTTGCTGGCATACTGTTGGTTTGCCAGCATTTTGCTATCTGGGATATTACGTAAACAAAAACATCATTTATAATATAATATCATGCATCATAATATGTTATATATTATATATATATAATATTAAATCACTTTTTATATAATATATTCATATATTAAATCAATTTTTTGAATAACTATATCGATCCATTAACATTCATAAATTTAGAAACATCGTTTTTCAATCTTTACAACAAATTTAATTTACATTAGAATAAAAGAGAAAAAAATATGCTATCGACATTGATTTCCTTTTTACATCGTAATATTATCCTAAAATACTCGTACAAAAAGAAACGCAATATAATCAAAGTATAATTAAAGTAGATACAGATACCTCGGAATGCATGAGATCTGTATCAGAAGTTCTCTCCGTGAAGAAACAATTTTGATCCGTACAAATTTAATTTGTTCATAGAAAATGTAATTAAAAAGTAGCTGGCTGGTTAGCTGACCTATAAATTTTTGCGGTATAAAATATTTTTCTCGGGACATAGAGAGTGTATTTTCTCTCCGCTCAGTTCTCACTGTAATCGTGCGAAACAATCGGCGTATATATAGCCGTAAAATTATAATTTATCTACTATACATGCGCATCTCGTGCACACGTATACTAATTGTAAGATGTAATTGTCTAGCAGCTAAATCAAAATTTCATGTTACATCACAGTCTGCAATTTGTTACGTGTCTCATACAGTCGATTGGAAGTAGACGCCTGCCTCTCCTAGACCACCTTCTAAGATTCAATATAGTTAATACAATTAATTCTTTCCTTTGAAAAATTATTTGATAAAATAAAGAAAGTAGATATAAGGTTCAAAGAGAAGAAAATAACAAAAATGCTCAGCATTTAAAATCTATAGAAAAAATATGTAATATGTTAATGTAATATACGCCTTACATTATATACTAATCTAATATATATCATTATATACGTGTTCTGCGTTGATCCAGATACGAAAAAATTATTTTTTTTTTTACAAATTTTAGAACGTGGTCCAGGAATATATCATTCGACATTCGGAGCTATAATGTAACAAAAAATGCTATCTCTCAAATTGAAATGCTGATATTGTCTGTAGTATAATCAATGTGAGATGATCAAGTACACATTCTGTCATACAAAGCCTAATATTAGAAATAACCGCAATCCAATTATTCGGATGCAACGTGCAACGATTCATTATAAAACGAATGATAACTTGTTACTTCAAGATTTGTCAAAAAATTCTTTTTTTTTGTTTTTTTTAATCAATGATCGTAAACCCTGTTACAGTTTTTTTTGTCACTAAAACATGTAGATAATCTGATGTTCTTCTACGCTTGTGTGTGCCACAAAAACCGTGTTGATGGAAAACAAAAAGCTTCACTTATCAAATCTGTATAATTGATCTGATATGTAATTCAATTACGGCACAAGGAAGAGATTATCAATATTATCTTTGGCAAATATGGTGTAGTGTTTTATCCGTCTAGTAACTATAGAGTTGCTTCTCATATTTGTAGAGAATGTTCCTTCAATATTTGCCCTGGCTTCGAATACAGATCTAGCTTTCCTATTAAAGCATCCTTCGTTATACGCGGACAGAAGATCCTTCTGAAAAAAGAAAGAGGTAAACTCAGTCATCCGAGAAAAAGTAGAACTGGCGAATGGACGCCGTACTGTTATAAATTACTCACCCAATCGTTTTCTGATCCGCATCGATCGCGCTCTGCTATAAATTAGTGATTTCCATCCCGTGGGGCAGTCTGTGGCCTTGCGCGTGACTCATGCTAAGCTGCCTCGTCGCCATCCCACCGCCACACTGGCTGCTCCAATCCGCGGTGGGTACCGGCGTGCGGTAGAACTTCGATGACGTCTTATTAAATATCGGCAATAGTTCGTTTGCCTCGGTGGATAATGCCTGAGTACGTCAGAAATTTCAGTTAGGATATCGCCGATAGAACCAGGACAAAATTATGAGATAAAATTACGATATATATGACATTTCTCGTTAGATATATCCTTGGAAACTTTCTATAAATTTAAACGTTACCTTCAGATAAATAATAGCGTCTGTCCCGTAACCCTCACAGCTGAGCAGTACGATGTCGCCGTGCAGATACCTGGCATACAATCGGGATAGTGGCAGACCGTAGCCGTATCCTGCAAGCGGTACCGTATGTGCATCTGATTTGCTCGGCTGTGGAGCGGTGCTGTACATGTACTTAAATAAATGGTCCGTTTGTGAACGAGGAATGCCGCCACCCCTGTCGGATATCTAAAAAAAAAAGCATATGGATGAAATGGCGATAATTATTCACCGCAATCTAATCGTCGTAATTCTAGGAATTGTTGAAATGTCAGATTCGTCCCACCTTTACGCAAATATCCTCTTTGCCGCGCACCAGCAAAACCTCGAGCGGCGGATAATTGTCCGAGTCACTTCCGTGGTGTTCCATCACGGCTCTCATGCTGTTCTTAAAGAGCTCAAATAACATATGGTACAAATGGCTCGGTACATAAATAATCCTAATCTCATTACTACACTCAAGTTCTGAAAAAGAACAGACGGTACAACGATTACAATCAACTTTGTAACCGCTATTATTCTTTACAATTTCCTTATTAATGTTTTTATCGAACAGGAAAAGTGTAATTAAATACATACACAATTCTTTATGCATACAACACATATATATGAAAATAATGGTAACGATATAATTATGTACTTGGTCTACCTCTATAGAAAATTATTTGTTTCAAATTACTTACTAAGACTAATATAATCTACTTTTGTTCAAACTTGCCATTATGCTGTTTGACTCTCAATTCCGGACTAGCCAGATAATATTGATCGCACAGAAACCGTGCGTTCTCATAAGCGTCCTTAATGACGCCGATCACGTCACAGGATGGATCTATACATCCTACGTGTCTACTGTGCCCGTTCAATTGCCCACCAAAAAGGAGCGCTGAAACACAATAACGAGAAGCGTCAATAAGGCGCAGTAACATAAGTGACTCATACGAAAGTTTATTAACGCGTGACACAGTGAACTCACTATGTTGGTTGATCAGCATACGAATGGAAATGCGGGACATGAAAAATCTGTCCAGGAAATACTGAATGCTGTTCTCAGTCTGAATGTCCACGTCGTGGGATTCCTTCAGCTCCAAAACACCCTGCGCCATTGTCTGAACGACGTCGGTATGTCTGTTCCGTATTTTTATTAGAGCTTGGCAGAATCTGTAAGAAATTCGAGATTTCCGTATAATAATTCTGTGTAGTGTTGCGAATGATATTCGCGAATATCCTAATCCAAAAGAGACAGAGTTCATAATCTATATACTCACGTGTCTAAAGTGGTATCGTTGACGTCAACTTTTTCAAAGTGTATTATTTCCTCGAAGGATGTGATGTACAAGTTATTCACAATACCCACACTAGGCATTTTCAGTAAATTTTCCGGCAGTAAATGGATCTCCTTCATAATATTGGCTAGTCGTACCGGCAGTTCCTTCCTCAAGAATATGAAGGATTTTCTCTCACAGGCGCTTAGACCTTAAAAAAAGAAACAATAATCATTAGAAATTTTAATCATATAAATATAATATATTAATATAATCAATTTTTAAATTAATTATATTATTAATCGATATCAGAATATATATTTTATATATATGTAGAATAACAGGAAATCATTATTCTTTTTCCAGAATCAGACTTTTTTGCGAATTTAAAATATAAAAGTATAGAATAGTTTAAAATATAAAAGTATAGAATTTTTTAATTAAGGTATATATCAAGATACATATCTTAATTGGAGAAATAAAATTTTAATAATTTTATTTAATGTATTTTATTCGATAGAGATTTTATTTTCTTTTCCATCAATTATTCTTCTTTTGTCTACTAATGAAATTTTGCGCAACGTGTTGACATTAATAGTCATCAAGACGATAACGATTGCAACTGCAACAACGGTGCTCGTAAAAACAGGTTTCGTATCATATTTTTTCCTGCAGACGCAAAATACATATTTGTTGTGGATGTTAGAACTGCTTTAAAAAAAAGCCGTACATTACTATCGCATTATCGTACTTATAGATAGATCGATAGGAAAGCAAACTGCAAGTTTGATGAGAGTCGTCACGGTGATTCATCTAACATTAAAACAGCTGATGAGACATCACCAATAGCGTTTGTATAATTTATTTCAGGCAGAGACGATTTTCATGTTGTCATATTTAATATTTAATATGTAATTTTCAGAAAATATACCAATGATATAATAAGTTTTTGCTAATCGCAATGATATCAGAGATATCAATCCTAAATCGATAAGCTTTTTATCAAAAGCGATAATTCATACGTTCTGTGCGTTTTCATTTTTTACAGCTTCATGTCTCACTGTTTGAGATATTAAGCTGTAAAAGGAAGGGAGAGAGAAAGGTTCAACATTACAAATGTTTGCATTTCATGATTAATCGGCAGAACAAATGAAAATGTATTCATTCATTTATCATTTGCTTAATTAGTAAGAGATATTTATCACACTGAGGAATTGAGAATTCGTATCTAATTTTATCACGGCTAAGCTTGTAATTTATATGTTGGATTCTCTCTTACGTTTATATATTTGTCAATATGTTTGTTTGAAGGATGATTTATGAAAAATTAGTGAAGCTATATATAGGGTGTCCCGCCTCTACCGGATTTCCTTTTAAGAACGTGTTCCTAAGATAATTTTGAGACGAAAATCCTAATACAAAAATGGCGAGGCTATAATACTTTTCAAAT